TAACATTTGTTCAACGAGCAATCCATTCGCATCAATCGCGTGTTCAAAACGCCTTACAATGCTAGTAAAAATTCGAACTAAATATTTTTTTTTTGCATTTTTTTCCCCGTGGTCCAATGGCGTGCCGTGACATTTGGTGATAGGGAAGCTGCGTTTCTGTAAGAAGCCGACTTCCAGGGCAATCAGCTTTAAATGTATTTTTAATAGATTATTTATCCGACGTACTTAATAAATAAACAAGTTCAATATAATTACCTCCGTTATTAGATTCAATATATTCATACGCCCTCTAAATGCCAATTCTCGCTTCGATAAAAACATATAACATCTATTTATTTAGATATAATATAGACTATCTGTTAACCGTAACTATCTCGTTATAATTTTCAATATTTATTTTATATTATTTACTAACGTTAAATTCTATTTCGCTTCGATTTCCAAATTGCTTCAAATACGAAACAATCGACGATTTTTCGTGTCTTTTGCCAGCTAAATCGTCAAAGCCATTCTTATTCCACACACTCATTTCATTTGAAAATAATAGGCCAGGCCAAGAAAACAATTTTTGCATTTTTATGCACGTACAGTACAGAGCCATTTTATCGCGAAAATGTCGAACAAATTTTTTATCGAAGTGTTTATATTTAACTTAGGCCTTTCTCTTTTAATAATGTTTTCTTTTTCATTATAAGATCTCGAGCCAAAGCTTTTTAAAAATAAATTTTCAATATCGCAATTACATTCCGAATCGCTAGCCGCGACATAAGGGCTGAAATTAAAAATAAAATTATAAAAACTTACTCGGTGAAATAAAATGTGTGGTGGATTTACATACCCGGTACAAAACATTCTTCAATTGTACGAATATACTTTTAAAGAAAATTATAATTAAATATAGCTTTGTAACGAAACGTACATAAAAATAACATAAAATATTGTTTACTCTTTAAATCTTATTAACCAATTAGTCAAATAGTTCCCTACGAGTGGAATCGGAGACGATCTTGGCAGGTGTCAGGTGCGTGCATGCGTTCAAATCCCCAGGGTGTCCATACCGGTTAATGTCTCTTTTGTGGCATCACTAGTATATTTCAAAGGACCCGACGGATCTGTTGTAGATTTTAAACGTTTTTGATTATAGCTGTAAAAATCTAAATATATTAAACTTAATAGATTGTCTGTTGTTGTTTTCTAACTAATTGGTTTTAGGACCAGGTGTCCATAGAAATTTCGAAAATTTACAACTTTTCGGCCACTCCCATTAAACTGGAAAAGTTTCTGTCTTTATTACATCTAAGATTTTCGAGAAATCAGTCCCCATTGTACTCGGTTATAAGCTTTTGTTTATCAGTCCCCGCTGTACTCGGTTCGTTTAAGCTTTTGTTTAAGTAAAATTTCGGCTCTTCCATCTGGGTTTTGTTTATGACCCCAATTCCCCAATCGCTTAATTATTTAATTACTACTTAAGTAGAAATAAGTCCATGGGCGTAGCGAGGGGGGAGCCTGGGTGGGCACGGCCCCTCCCAGGGAACTGGGTCCCCCCAGGAAATCATAGCCGAAAAAGTGTTGAGTCGATTTGTAAACACCTAAAGCTAAAATAAAAGTTTTGAATACTAAAAAAAAAGTGAACGGCTTGCTCGGTGCCCAATAATGAACAATAATTTGAAATAATTCAATTTTGTGTCAGGTTGGCCTCCACTAGGCCCCCATAACAAAACTCTGGCTACGCCCATGAATAAGTCGAAACCGGTTACTTTGTACTCGAATATTTGTAGTCTCGGGAAAGAAGTGAAAAGACAAATTTTTATGACAAACGGATACATAAATTATAAATGTAAGGAAAATAAATTCTAGCGCTTTTTCTGTACCTGGTGCATCTCTCATTTATTAAATTTAGTTGTAAATGACGCTGTCAAAGTAACGGTTAATTTTTTAATATTATACAAGAATTGTACACGTTTTTTCTACATCCCCTTAAAGATGGGACATACGAAATTGTAATATCACGTAATAGCTGGTTTAACATCGAAATCCGTGAGTAATATAAATTGGGAGAGCGGAATAAAAATATCAAATATTTTAACGGATTTTTTTAACTCCCGTCAACTATACGGAACTATGGTAAAAACGTACCGGTAAATTCTTATCGGTCGGGTTAAATTATAAATCTACTGGCGATTGGCGTAATCGGGCGAGGGCGGCCAAATATCTAGCGGGCGGGCGGTCAACGGCCCGGAACCGGTCTCGGATAGAATTGAATGCGGTATAGGCGTAGCATCCACCCCAGGTCCTAGGCTTCCGCCGGCTAAACCGGGTCAGGTCGGCGCTCCGTAAAGCGCGTGCGCGAATCTGGCTTTTTGGATGCCGACGATACGGCGCTTCCACTCGGCCACTAATATTCGAATATACGATAGCCATCTTATTTTTTTTTTCACGCGTAGTACCGGTATAGAAATTTGTAATAAGATACTTAATACGGTTATAATAAAACATTGCGCGATTATTTTCATATAATTAAAATTAACATGTATTTATTTTTTTAGAAAATACGAGGGAAGCGGCGCATCCACCGCTTCCGATGACGGCACGCCACTGCCGTAGTCCGTATAATGTATATACCAAGTTTCATCAAAATACGACTACGAGAACGGGCTCTAGACAGGTCTGATTAGCGCGACTTTAATCGTAACCATCCCGTATACGCGTGGCACAAAATATTACAAAACAATATAACGCTATATAAAATAAAAATTTTAAATACTGACATCTAGAGGTCTGTAATCGTACTAAATACCGAGAGCCCGCTTCGTATATATATTCGACGCATAGAGCTGTAAAGTTTTACCATCTCTTTGTGTGGTTGCATTTAACTTTTTGGTTTAAAGTAAACCATATACAGTAGAGCGTCGTTTATCCGAAGGTCGGTTATCCGAAGGAATTCCAGTCGACAAATTTAAATTTTGCGAGTGCTGTGGCGCTGTAATCTTTGGCTATGTCTTCGGCTACTCAAATATTTTACGTTTTTGATACTAAATTAACTTCTGAAGTATAATTTTTTATTGTTTTTATATTTTTCAATATATTTATTTTGTTNGCTTTTGTACAAAAAGTCCGAAAGTAGGCTTAGAGAAAATCGGGTGGTAATATGGAACCTTACTGCATATTTTCAAAAAAATGCTTTAATGTAGCCAAAAACAAATAGGAAAGAACAACAAATGTTAAATAATTACCAAATTATTTACTCCAATGTATTTTATCGCAAAAATGCTTTTATAATAGAAAAATATGACCTCCATTAACAATATATATTCCAGCAGCTCTTTTTCGATATTCTCAGGAAGAATTGGCTTTCTACCTAGTGTCTTTTTCACAAATTGCTCCGGAGGAATGTCTGCTTGCAAATAGAAAGTTCGGAGGAGTTGAGTTCCATATTACTGTAAAAGCACCGATGGGGTCCGTATTTCACGCATCGCCATCTCCAATTAACTTATGTCTGTCGAGACCAAATTTTTAAAAATGTGAACATCACACAGATTAATATGTACCCCTAAGTCTCTGGAACAGAATACATGCACCAGTGATCCTACAACTACACAATTTATATTTTATAAATAATTAAATTCACTTAGCATTCAAAACTTTCGAATTTCGAAAAAAACAAATTTGCTGATTAAATGCGGACAACCGTTTAACTGAAGTAAAACGGGTTTTCCCCTTGCTATGGATGTCTGCCTAGTTCAGTTCAGCCACATTCTGGTACAGTTTGCCTTTATTATCAGTTCGAAATGGGGTGGTTCCATAATACCCGCAGTGTTCCATAATACCACCTTCTCCTCTATTAATAATAAAATTATGATTTATTTGGGATAAATTTAGGTGAAAATTAACAATAATTTAATATAACGCCGTGTATACGTATATACAGTCGACCCCCCTATAACACGGTAGATACGTTCCGGTTTTTATGAATCCATTTTCTACGAGTCCAGCCAATCACAGCCCGGCATGTATGCAGTTTACAGACTATTTGAAAGGTTTCTTCCATAAAATTAATCGATTCTAGACTAATTGGACTCAACATTCCCAAAATACGTATAATTTTTTGGGAATAATCNGTGCAAATATTTATTAAAATAACAACTTAACAAATATGAAATAATAACATTTATAATCATTGCTAAGTGAATAGCATTTCATTAATGATTTTATAAATAACGAAGAACTATTTTCTGCGGACGAATGAGATGCAATACGATTTTTAATTGATGGACATGGGTTTAAACCAATAAACAAAGGGAGGTGTGTCTTAGTTTGTTTACAGTAGCTGCCAAGTTAGGATAAATAGACTATAGTATATTTCAAAGGACCCGACGGGGCTGTTGTAGATTTTAAACGTTTCTGAACATATATTTAGATTTTTACAGCTGTTAAACTTAATAGATTGTGTCGTTGTTTTCTAACTAATTGGTTTTAGGACCAGGTGTCCATAGAAATTTCCAAAATTTACAATTTTCCGGCCACTCCCATTGAACTGGAAAAGTTTCTGTATTAATCTAATATTTCCGAGAAATCAGTCCCACTGTACTCGGTTATAAGCTTTTGTTTATCAGTCCCCACTGTATTTGGTTCGTTTAAGCTTTTGTTTAAGTAAAATTTCGGCTCTTTTATCGGGGTTTTGTTTACGTTTTCAATTCCCTAATAGCTTAATTATTTAATTACTACTTAAGTAGAAATAAGTCGAAACCGGTTACTTTGTACTTCGAATATTTTTGTAGGCTCGGGAGAAAAGTGGAAAGACAAATTTTTATGACAAACGGATACATGAATCGTAAATTTAAGGAAAATAAATTCTAGAGCTTTTTCTGTACCTGGTGCATCTCTCATTTATTAAATTTAGTTGTAAATGGCGCTGTCAAAGTAACGGTTAATTTTTTAACATTACACAAGAATTGTACACGTTTTTTTTTCTACTTAATACGGTTATAATAAAACATTGCGCGATTATTTTCGTATAATTAAAATTAACATGTATTTATTTTTTAGAAAATGCGAGGGAAGCGGCGCATCCACCGCTTCCAATGACGGCACGCCACTGTTCATTCCAGGTTTCTATGCTGTAAACTTTTGCGAAACACTGTTATTTTCGCACGGGGTAGCATCAGCCGATTAGCTTCTTAATGGATTTGTCTAGCCTGCTTCATAAATGTCCGATCATTAGAATCTCATCCGTGTTCTTCCCCGATCGCGTGTTGGGTACTTTTCGGCACCATCTCAAAGCGTTTGGTTGTAATCCGTATTTCGGTAACAATAGACAAATAGTTTGTTATTGCTTTCTCCCTCTCCCCATTTATCCACGCTTGGAACTGGTGCGCAAGCGTATTGCTATCTACACGGCTGGATTATTCAAATATATCTTAGTATAATTGAAAATTATCGGGTTTCCTGGTCACAACCTTCTTTCGAGTGCCTAATCACGCAAGAGCCGTTGCCAGCTTTCTTCTTACGAAAACTGAGAATGACGTCAAATTGAAGTAATAACGTAATTATTGAGACAAAACAAAGCATCCTTTATAATTATTTGTGTGATATAAAAGGCATTGAGAAAAAAAATGAAGACAACTACGCAAAACTCAATTATATATACACTAGTGGCGTTCTTTACAAATTCCTACCAGGCACTTTTTTTATTCCTATCAATATGCTCTACAGCTCTGTTAAGTCCCAATCGCGTCATATGGATCTAGATTCCTATTAAACATTCTAATTTGTTTATTTACCTTCGATCGTAAACCTCGATTTTAAATGTATCCGCCATTTTTTCAAAAAATTTCCCGTGAGTCGATGCGCGACGTTCATTAAAAGTCATGGGATGTTGTAAACGTGCCGCGCGAGGTTAATCGAAGCATATAATAATTATTTACACCATTCCGTGGTATAAATAATAAATTCGTATCAATAATAATTTCCTATTACAAATAAAAATAATTTGTTAATTTAAAATCGCTAGGGCGCCTCTAGTACCCGTTTTCGGCATACCGTTACGCGGACAGACACGCGATGAATGGGTTATATAGATAGATAATAATTCAACTTTGTAATTAACAAATCAAATGGTAGAGAATTCTTTGATATAAACTTGTGCACAAATAAGATTATTATAATGGCAGATACTTGTCCTATAAAGGGCAAGGATGAAGCCATTATTCTGACTGATAATATGGAAGCAATGCTTGTTGCCTAACTACATTTATTGAAAATCAAATTGATATTGTTTTTCAGAACACGCATCTCTTATGTTGGTTAAAAAAGAATCTCTTCTGTGCAGAACCAATGTAGGAAGATCTCTGTTCTTAAAAACAGGAAATATCAACTGTACAGTAGATGACATTTTTTAAAAGGGGCTGCAATTATCTATCAGTTAGCTATTTATAATGTACATCTCTGGTATAAGTAACAGCTGTTTAACATACAATCTGTGGGCAACACATACCAAGCTACATTGAAACATTCAGTATTATTATATTAATAGGCTTACCAAATATTTATAAATCTATTTGCCCTTTTTCAGTTTAAATTCAAAAAAAATGTACGAATAGCATATTTGTGTGTAAATTTGATAATACCAAACTTTGTTTTAATAATTTATATTAGTGAGTATATTTTAGCTATAATACCGGGCCCTGTTCAAAAACAATTGAATGCAGCTGGAGAAAACACTGGAGTTGAGCATCCCTTCTTAGACTATTGGCTGAAAGCTGCATACGAGTTCTTTGGACTTCTACGAGATATATTATGACTTGGGAAAAAAATCGCGGCGTGAATAAGTCGGCAACACGACGTACGAAACAGAATTTATTCTTTATTGCATAGCTTTTTTCTAATTGCTTTTCATGTTCCCAATTCACTTACATAATATATAATATTGATACAATATATATATATAATAATAATAATCTAAAATAATGATAAATTATATAAATTAATTCATGAGATACAAGTTATACATGTGAAATAAGAAATAAATTAATTCGTATAAATGAACAGTAAAATACTCCATACGTATAGTTTCTATGTTAGAGAATAAAGGAATTGTCCATATGGGACTAATTCTATTAATGGTGGCATGTGGATAAAGTGGCTTCTATGGTATGATGAATATTTAAAACTATGGTTAACTACAATTGAAAATATGAATGGGAAGGATGGTGCGATTTAATCGGCATGCCACCTAAACTACTGTATTTTGCACCAACACTAAACTCTTATATTACAATAAATTTCATATATAACAGCTACAACACAATTTACTCTAAACATTAACACATTACAAAAATTCATTCAACGTATTTTGATCAGATCTTGCTTTATAACAACCAAAAAACGTACGTATTTTCTAACAAATCTGTACATGTTAAACGTGATAATGCCCGATTCGTATCGGCACTTTCTAATTAATTTTCTGACAATAAAATTCGTGAAAAATGTGCACGATACTTCATAATTAGTTTATGGAAATATCAACATTCCTTTCTAGGTAACTGTGATAACAAAATTTTTTTTCATGTAGACAAATATAAATCGATATATTGCTCAGATACTGTTGAATTTTTTTTAACTGTGAAAATACATTATAGCAAATGAGTCTGTAATTAATAAATTTCAAGATTTTTGCATACCAAAATAGTCTGCCTCATGTTTTTTTCCTTTAAGTCTGATCAAAATGCAGATCATTTGTTATTGTTTTTTATGCAAAAATCTTTGCTGGATATTTCAAAAGTTTCCCTGTGACATTTTTAAAATCATTTGCAAGTTTTTATGTACTAACGCAAGCTAATCTAATTGTCAAAATTAGTTTTGCTAGCATCTTTCTTGCATAAACAGGTGCATAGAAATTGAAAATGTAGTGGCTATTAATTTACAACAGGACATTTACACTTGTACGGACAAAACAAATACAAAAAAAACTGTTTAAAACTTTATACACATATATATAATTTACGTATACTTATTTAAATACTTTTTCGACCTACATTGCAAACTTGTAATGACGCCTGTGGTATAACTAGCAAAAATACTCAACTTGGCCTTAAGTTCTTCAGCATCAAATTGCATGACCAATAATTGTTCACTAGCTGTGGCATAAAAAAGCTTTAAATTCCTGTTTTTTATTGCTTTCTTATTTTAGTTTGATATGTTCCTCTCCAAATCCAATTCTATAAAACTGCTATAAATGCTTCAAAGACAAATACATGCAATTATCACAGTCAATGGGGAATGACCTCTGTTCATCATTTATATTATTCGCTCTGTTGTGGCCGATGTACTAAGAAATGGGTCAACTTGGTGGGCAAACAACCTAAATTTAGTTGGTAGAATTCAACCAATTGTAAAAGATCATAAAACTTTGTCCTTCCATTATCTAAAGAATAACATAATTGTTCCTTTTCTTCTACCTGTGTTGAAGTTTTAGTATAAGTAAATTTCACATTACAATAATGTGGTATGAAAATAGTAGTAAAATATAATTACTTACAGGTATAACCTGGCAATGATGAACCTTACACTTATAAATGTAAGAGAGTACATAACTTCCTGGATTCCTCCTGCTTTCTCTAACTAAGAAAACTCTAAAAATCAAATATTTGAGTTATTTATGACATTTATTTTCTAATATGCTAATGTGTATTTTAACCTAAAATTTACATGCTTACCCATCAACAGTACCATATTTTGTGAGTAACTGAGTTGCTTCATCACGTGACATACCACTATAGAACCATGGTTGAGTGTTATGGAATCCAAATTCAGGAAATGGTCTCGAAGTAGGACTTTTATTCGAGGACTGTTGCGGAACATATTGTGCTCGACAGCATGGTAGACGACGCTAAAGCATTTTAAATCTCTCTTAGTTGACTGAGAATAAAATCCTCTTTCATATTTCGAAACCGTGTTGTATCTTTATATTATTTTTTCAAAACCGCAATGCAGCGTAATAATCAACACTTGGCATAACTCATTCAACAAAAACTGAAATAAACGAATGAGTTATGCCAAGTGTTGATTATTACACTGCATTGCGGTTTTGAAAAAATAATGAGAATAAAATATTTTCAAAAATATACTCTAATAATTACTTACCTTCCAAGTATGTCCTTCTGCAGCTGCTATAGCTTCTGCTTCTTTTGGATCATCTATAACTCTTCCATAATTTCCTGTGAAATCCATAGCAACTCTAGATTGCATAGGTATGTAATCCTGAAAATTAAAATAATAAGCTAAGTTATAATATATTCAATCATTGTTAAAGTACAAAAAGAAGAAATAATATATGGACAGGAGGTTTGTGAGAATGCAGTTTGTGAATGTGAAAAAGAGAGAAACCAAAATAGAGATGACAAAAGATACTGAAGAAGAAAAACTGAAGGTGGAGTAAGTGAGAGATAGGGTAACTGACAGGAGGATCATAAAAGTTGATTCCAAAGATGATAGAATATTGTTGTTATTATATAGTATTTTTTAGTACTTAATATTATATAAATACTAAATAGTTACTATTGTAAAGGAGTCAATGTCTGACTGTTATTTTATGTTTTTGGGCGTTATTTTTAGTTAGTTATTTTCTTTTCAGGGGACTTTTTTATTTAAGGACAAATTCCTAAGCACATGTGACAAAGTCAAAAAGGCAGAGATACTAATTTTGCATCAGTGACTGATCCCATGATGCAAAATAATGTAAATTATGGCAGTGCTGTACTGAACATTGGATAAAAGACGGCACATCCAATACAGCCGGATGGTGTAGCTCCTGTTGAATGCTGTAGTCATGTCTCTGAGAAGTGATTAGCGTAAGCTGTATACTTTGATGTATTTCTTTTTGAGGTGGAGGTGAGATTTTTGGATTTGTTATTATATGAAGTAAGATTTTCTTTGATTAATTATTCTTTTTGTTACTTCGTACATTTGTCAAATATTCAATTAGTCAACTGTTGGTACAATTAACTATTAAATTGAAATAAGAAAAGAAACAATAATAATAATATTTTCATTGTGAACTGTTAATAATTATTCAACAACCATATACAGTAGAGTGTCTTTTATCTGAAAGCTGGTTATCTGAAAGCATTCCAGTCGGCAAATTTAAATTTTCGCTAGTGCTGTGGCGCTGCAATCTTCAGCTATTTCTCGGGCTACTCAAATATTTTACGTTTTTGATACTAAATTAACATCTGAAGTATAATTTTTATTGTTTTTATATTTTTCAATAAATTTATTTTGTTTGTACAAAATAAAAAAATAATTTTTTATGATACAATAGTCTTCGTTAGGCTTAACATCGACGAAAATTCAACGTAAAGTGACATGCAACGAAGCGAAATTTCAACACAAGATAAATTAATATATTTTTTCGTACATGATTCGTTATCCGAAAAATAAGTTATCTGAACCACCCCAGTCCCCAATTGATTCGGATAAACGATGCTCTACTGTATAAGTATTATTATTATTGCTTTTGATTTAAAAGTCCAGGCCTGGTACTTGAACCCTAACACTGTGTAACCCCATTTCTTTTTGGTATGCAGTGCATTACATAACTGGTGCCCAAACAGGGACCTTACTGGTCAAAAGAAAATTTCAAAACTTTTTTTACAATTCAGCAGTTGGTGTATTTATTGTTCTCATCCACGCAAAACAATGTTGGGCAAAGATACCATTACTCATGAAGAGTTCGTGACTTTGCAACAACAGTTGACAACGTTATTGAAACAGGTTTCTGCACTGACTCAAAGTATGGCAAGTATCACTTTTGTCTTATCTTTCAAACAGGTAGCGCCGTCAGCCATGAGCCAAACTGATCCGGAGGATAGCGTTCCCAATATGCTGCCAGCTAAAACATTTAACGGACAATCTGAATATCCAGTGTTGAAGATCCTGACTTTATCCAGGATCTTCAACATTTTTTTGTTAATCAAGTCTGAAATAACCACTGGGTCGATACAGCCACCTTCTTATTAGAAGGTCCTCCAGCTAAATGGTGGAGGAACGATGTAAGGAAATGAGTAGGTAATAGCTGGCCACTCTTTATCCATCTACTTAAAGAATTGTATTCTCCTCTTACAGACGAAGTTGCTCTAGCAAAGAAATTATTCAGCCAAACATATGATGATATGTCTGATGTTGAACAGTACATTTGGGAAACTGTTCAGCTGTACCATACATGGAAATACCTCACCAGGGACAAATGCACAATGGCTCAAATGCCATTAAATTTATGTGAGTATATAGAAATTAGACATTGTTATTCTCTTAATGAATTAGTGCAAACCACAAAAGAATACGAATTTCGGAGAAAACGGCCCAGTCAATGACCTTTTGAAAAAACTGATACTTCGAGACAAAGTTTTCCTGAATGCACACAGACTCAAAAACCACCTAATGTGGGAAGAACTCCTCAGATGACTCAAATATTTCCAGTATGATGTTATACTTGTGGAACTACTGGGCATTATTCAAGAAACTGCCCTGAAAATGAGTGACCTGGAAACCAAATCATTCTGAAAACCTCTAACCCTATACGGGCCAAAGGTAAGAGGGGAACCCAGAATTTAAAACTAATACCGAGGCCAAGAAAGGAGGCTTGGCCCTCGAAGTACAAAAAACTGTCTTAATTGGAACTGATAATGAAAACTAAAACAAACTTATCAGAACTGACCTAATGACTAATGCCAGAATTGACACTGGTGCAGATCATTCACTAATAAGTTTCGACATATGGTGCCAAATTGTAAGAAAATCCCAGGGGATGACTCTTTGTCCAGGCCCTAACATTAAATTGGCCATAGAGGGCAGATACTATAAAACAAAGGATGTATTTATGGCCAATCTCCGATTAAATAGTACCATATTACACCATGAACTCATCATGATCAACGGACTTATACTTCCATGCCTGTTGGAAAAAACTTCCTACAAAAATATAAGGTATCCTTAAATTTTCATAACTTAGAAATGGAAATTGCTATCCCAGATACTGGTTTAAGTACTAAAGGTGACTTAAAGGAATTACAGACTCCATTAAAAGGAGATAATTTATTTACGCTAAAAAATGTTTTGAATAACTTTTTACATATTTTTAGTGACAGACCTGGACTCACAAATTATGTAGAACATGCCATCGAGACTGAGAATGCTCCATTAGTTTCGAGCAGATCTTATAGGTATTCACCTATAAAATCACCGATTTGCTAAAAGAATGGATAATCAGACCTTCCAATTCGCCATAGGCTTCACCTGTAGTGATGGTAAAGAAGACAGGAGACTGTATGTGGATTTTCATAAGTTAAATAGTATAACAGTAACCAATGAATTTCCTTTGCCTGTCATTGCAGAATTATTGAACTCACTAAAAAAGGCCAAATTCATTACTACCCTGGATTTGTCGTCAGGGTATTGCAAGTACCGGTAAAAGAAAAAGATAGTCAAAACAAGCTTCTTTACTAACGAAGGACTCTATGAGTTTTTAGTAATGCCATTTGGCTTGAAGAATGCATCTGCAACTCGATATTGGGAGGTATATTTAGATGATATAATTATCTACTTGTCTACTTTTCCAGACCACCTTCAACACATTGAGGGCTTCTTGCAGAGACTGTCCGAGGCAGGCCTGACAAATTAACTAAAAGTCATTTTTGCCGATCCGATGTACAGTAGACCCCCCCTATAACACGGGTTCCTATAGTTCAGATTCCTATATGACGGCAAAAAAATTGAGACGGTATCCGTACAAACATGGTTAAAAAACTCCTATAATTTGGTAAAACGTCATCGGGCAGCCAAACAACTTTCCACCATCCAGCACCATGCTACGGAGAGTTTAGGCGGGTAAATTGAGTTTACTATCGTCTTCACAGTATGTAAATAGGTACCGTAAGTCTAATACAGCACCAATTTTATACATTTCTTGTGAAAGAAACATTTCTTATTCAACGGCCATAAAAATTATTTATATTAATAATGTCTCCAAAGTTCAACGAAGTTTTCGCAAAAAAATAACTTATCAGAAATTGTGGCCGCCGTTTAGTGCGCTGCTTCGCGACGAAAACAAGCTTAAGCAATGGCAACATCGAATGGTGCACACTTGGTAAGTAATCCTACAATTTTTTGTTTATAGCATAGTTTATACGGATTATTCCCAAAAAAATATATGTATTTTGAAAATGTTGAGTTGAATTAGTCTAGGAATCAATTAATTTTATGGAAGAAAACCTTTCAAACAGCCGTAGTCCGTAAACTTCACACGTGTCGGGCTGTGATTGGCAAGGACTCTTACAAAATGGATTCATAAAGAACGGAAAGTATCTACTGTGTTATAGGGGAGTTGACTGTACATTATTTAGGGTTCCATGTAAATGAAAAGGAGTTATCTACAGACCAAGGTAAGGTGGAAGCATTCAGCTAAGCACGTTTTTAGGTATGTGTAGTTGGTACAGCCGCTTTATTCCCCATTATGCAACAATAGCTGAACCACTGTAATGCCTACGACAAAAATGTATCAAATGGACTTGGAGTCCTGGCCATGAGAAATCTTTCCAATCATTAAAAGAGCACCACCTCATAACTGCTCCTGTGTTACAGCTGTCCGAACCAATGCCCCATTTGTACCCTTCATCGATGCCAGCACAGTCAGACAAGGGGCCGTCCTCTGTCAAGAGAGGCCCTAAGCCTACACAAGCTAAACCCTCCAGAAAGCTGAGAGGAACTATACAACAACAAAATTGGAATGTCTAGCCATTGTGTGGGCTGTGGAAAAATTCCGAGAATACCTCGATGAGATGGACTTTGTGGTGGTTACCGATCACACCACCCTGCAATGGCTACAGAGTTCAAAAAAACCTTTCAGATAAGCTGATGATATGGGCATTACGCCTACAAGAATTTAACTTTTCTATCAGACTAAGGGGTGTCAAAGATAACCAGCTTTTAGATGCTTTATCTCAATTTACACTGTCAGTTTCGAGTGGTAAGGAAACTGATATTACTACAAAGTTACTAACCATCATAAGTATCACTGATAAAGATGAAATAATCCAGGCTCAGTGAAATGATGAGAACTGGAAAGATTTATACAAATACTTACAAGAGGGTGACCTACCCACCGATCCAAGACTGGCATCAGAATTAATCGGTAAGTCATGACACTATAAAATCATTGATAATTTATTGTATTACCATCGTAGGAAGAACGACAGCAGATGTCCTCGGCCAGTAGTTCCTATGGTACTAAGGCATGTGATATTAAAAGAATTACATGATCATTCGATGGCGGGTTACCTAGGCTCAAGGAAAACTGTCAAGAAAATTCAACTTTCTCCCGAACTACGAAAACATCTATTGGCTCTTGAAAAACTTAATATTGAATGGTCTAGGTGTAGAGTCTCAGATTTCTGCCCAGTATTACAATGCCTGCATTGCTGCAGATATGGACACACAACAAAATATTGCAAACATACCAGCATTTGTAGATCATGAGTATCATAATTGCCCTAACTATAAAAACATTCCTAAATGCTGCAATTGTGTATATGAGAAAAATAGAAGTACTGCACATAATGTTTGTAGTGGTTCCTGCCCAGTCTTCGTAAGAATTAAAGATAAATTAGCTGTTAATACCGACTATGGAGACGACAATGAATAACCCCTTACGTATACTGCAAATCAACTTGAGAAGAAGCATAGCTGCTTCATCTATGTTAAACATTCAATTAAAATACTATGATATCATACTAGTGCAGGAACCCTATTGTCATAATAACAGTCTTAGTTGCTTTCCGACTAACTGTATCACCATAACGGGTACAAATAATTTCCATGGGCCACCACCCTTATCATTAATAAGAATTTACCAATACTATTTCGTCAAGTTTATAGTAACGAGTATATTATATGTCTGGAAATTAA